TTTTTTTTGAGATGGAGTCCCACTCTTGCCAAAGCTGGAGTGCAATGGTGCAATATTGGCTCACTGCAATGACTGCCAGGTTTAAGCAATTCTCTTGCCTCAGCCTCCTGAGTAGCTGGGGTTATAGACGAGCGCCACAACACTCGGCTAATTTTTTTGTATTTTTAGTAGAGACAAGGTTTCTCCATGTTGGCCAGGCTGGTCTTGAACTCCTGACCTTGAGTGATTCTGACCCCTCTTGGCCTTCCAAAGTGCTGGGATTATAGGCGTGAGCCACTGTGCCCACTAGCCTAGCCTTTCTGCAGCACTGCTGTTTATTCCATAGAAGTCCTCTGGAGTGGTGATAATTGGACAGCACTGAAGACTAGTTTTCTATTTGAGGTCCTCTAGATTCTGCCCATGCTCAGGCATGAAAAGTTGCTTTCTCTGTGTTTCTGCAAAGATCCTTTGCCTATAGGTGTTTTTTTCTCTCCTTACTGTATCTCCAGGCTATAGCTATATAAACTGTAGTTCTCTCTGGTCACCTAGAGAAGCCTGGTCCTTTTCTGGAATTTACTTAATTTAGACTTATTTATCCAGAGGTCTTCAGTAGCTTTTTAGAAAAATAATTTATGTATTGTTTTCTCATTGTTTGGCAAAAGTGATGATCTTTTGTGACCTTCCACATTCTAACTAGAAGTGGAAATTTTCCATTGGAGGATTTTCTTTTTTTTCTTTTCCTTTTTTTTATTTTTAGGCAAAGCCTTACTCTGTGGCTCACAGGCTGGAGTGCAGTGGCACAATCTCGGCCCACTTCAACCTCTACCTCCGGGTTCAAGTAATTTTCTTGCCTCAGCCTTTGGAGTAGCTGGGACTACAGACATGTACTGCCAAAGCCTGGCTAATTTTTTTTTTTTTTTTTTGAGACAAAGTCTCTCCCTGTTGCCCAAGCTGGAGTGTAGTGGCACTATCTTGGCTCACCACAACCTCCGCCTCCTGGCAGGTGATTCTCCTGCCTCAGGCNAAAGTCTCTCCCTGTTGCCCAAGCTGGAGTGTAGTGGCACTATCTTGGCTCACCACAACCTCCGCCTCCTGGCAGGTGATTCTCCTGCCTCAGGCTCCTGAGAAGCTAGGATTACAGGCACGTGCCACCACACTGAGTTAAGTCTTTATATATTTAGTAGATACGGGGTTTCACCATGTTGGCCGGGCTGCTCTTGAACTCCTGACTTCAGGTAATCTGGCTGCTTCAGCCTCCCAAAGTGCTAGGATTATAGGCATAAGCCACCATGCCCTGCCAGTTTTTTTTATATTTTAGTAGAGATGGAGTTTCACCATGTTGCTTCCTGGGGTGGTCTCAAACTCCTGAGTTCAGGCAGTGTGCTCACCTCACCTCCCAAAGTGCTAGGATTACAGGCTTGAGCCACCACCTCCAGCTTCCTTTGGAGGATTTTCAAGTAAGGTTAAGATCTTAAGTAGAAACTGTGCAGGGAACAAGTAACTACACATTTATGTAGTAGTTGCTAGTGCCTGTTTGAGTTTTATAAAGTTTTATAAAGACATTACTTTAATTGGGTTAGCAAGTAGTGAAAAAGATAGTGCTTCATTGATGATGGATTGGTGTGGAAAATGTGTTTTATTGGACTGAGACACTAAGGTAATATTTTCTGTGTGATTGGATCCTATGGAATATTCTGTAGGTTATTGTTTAAGATGAGGTTGATAAGGCTGAAGATAAATTATATTGGGCTTTGAAAAGCATCTCGGATATTTATATTTTTTCCTTAGTTTCAGAGGCCTTTGAAATGCTTTTGAACAGGCAGGTAATGTTAATACAACTCAATATTTTACGAAAATAAATTTTTGTATTTTTAGTAGAGATGGGGCTTCACCGTGTTGGCCAGGATGATCTTCATCTCTTCACCTCAGGTGATCCGCCCACCTCGGCTTCCCAAAGTGCTGGGATTATAGGCGTGAGCCACAGTGCCCAGCCTTAGGTAGAATCTAACCTAATTTTTTATTTCTACCATATTCTCAAGATACATTGGTATAGTTTTTAGGCTTTCAAAGGCTGATTGGTAGGAGGGGGAAACTAGATGTTTATATTGTTTTTGATGAATTATACCCAATATATCTGGGTCATATGCATTTGCCTTCAACTACCATATCTTTTATTTTGAAAAGATTAGTGGTGAATTCTTTATATTGAAAGTGAGGTTTTCAGTTTTAAAGTTGAAAAATCATCTGGCAACATCATGACTATACTAAAAACCAGTGAATTGTATACTCTAAAATGGCTGAGATACTATGTTTTATGTTATGTGAATTTAATCTCAAACATATAGGAAAAAATCAGCTGGCAGTTTGGAGGCCCTTTCCTGTTTGTTGCAATTCTCAGTTGTGTTGAATGTGTGTTTGCTTTACAGGGTTGTTAATCAGCATGTGGGGATTTTTGGAGTTTTTGAGTGTTTTTGAGGAATGGCTGATGAAATCTGATGTGTTACTTGGACTCCTAATGTATTTTTTTTTCCCTCTTTGAGTCTTGTTTATGGATCGTTTTTTACTTTTTAAATCCCTTTCTCCCCTCTCTCTTTAGTCTTATTGCCAATAATTTTGAAGATGACTCCCATATAACTTCACCATTAGACCAGAATGGAAGCTTCAATGTTGTTATTAAAGAAGAACCTCTAGATGATTATGACTATGAACTTGGTGAGTGCCCAGAAGGGGTCACTGTGAAACAGGAAGAGACAGATGAAGAGACGGATGTATACTCAAACAGTGATGATGATCCTATACTAGAGAAACAGCTAAAGAGGCACAATAAAGTTGATAACCCAGAAGCTGACCATCAGTCTTCTAAATGGCTTCCAAGCAGCCCATCAGGTGTTGCTAAAGCTAAAATGTTCAAATTAGATGCTGGAAAGATGCCAGTAGTCTATTTGGAGCCTTGTGCCGTCACCAAAAGCACAGTGAAAATTTCTGAACTGCCTGATAACATGCTTTCCACATCTCGAAAGGATAAATCTTCTATGTTGGCAGAATTTGAATATTTACCTACATACATTGAAAATTCCAATGAGACTGCCTTTTGCTTAGGGAAGGAATCAGAAAATGGTCTTAGAAAACATTCACCAGATCTAAGAGTGGTACAAAAATATCCCTTACTGAAAGAGCCTCAGTGGAAATATCCTGATATATCTGACAGCATTAGCACAGAAAGAATACTTGACAGTTCAAAGGGTTCAGCTGGGGACTCACTTGCAGGAAAAGAGGAGTTGGGCAGAAAGAGAACAACTATGCTTAAGATTTCAACAGCCCCAAAGGTAGTGAATGCTAATCAGAATGCCTCTCCAAATATACCTGGAAAAAGAGGAAGGCCGCGAAAACTGAAACTCTGTAAGGCAGGAAGACCACCTAAAAACACAGGAAAGTCTTTAATTTCTACAAAGAATACACCTGTAGGCCCTGGGAGTACCTTTCCAGATGTGAAGCCTGATCTGGAAGATGTGGATGGTGTTCTCTTTGTTTCCTTTGAATCAAAGGTAAGATTGTAATTTTCAGGATTCTTTCAAAGGCTAATTAGTTACACTGCAATTGTATACTAGCTTATAACTAACTGGATTTATAATCTAGTTTTGTGACTACAGCTGTTTGTAAGGGTGTAAGAGGGGTGAGGTGGGGAGGGAAGTGTTTCCAAAATGTTTGGATAGTTCATTTGAATAGACTTAAAAAAATTAAGTCTTGCTTAGCTTTCAGTTCATGATTTATGCATAGATGTGTTTAAAAAATCTTCAGGTCTTAGTGGAATTATCATTATGGATTTTTGAAAGGCCTAAAAATACATGAAACGTTTACTAACTCTTTGGCGATATCCCTTTTATTTTATCTCCTAGTTTTCCTTTCTTTTCCATTTTCCTTTCCTTTTTCCTTTCCCCTTTCCTTTCCTTTTTCCTTTCCCCTTTCCTTTCCTTTCCTTTCCTTTCCTTTCCTTTCCTTTCCTTTCCTTTCCTTTCCTTTCCTTTCCTTTCCTTTCCTTTCCTTTCCTTTCCTTTCCTTTTTCCTTTCCCCTTTCCCCTTTCCCCTTTCCCTTTTCCTTTTCCTTTCCTTTCCTTTCCTTTCCTTTTTCCTTTCCTTTCCTTTTTCCTTTCCTTTCCTTTTTCCTTTCCTTTCCTTTTTCCTTTCCTTTCCTTTTTCCTTTCCTTTCCTTTTTCCTTTCCCTTTCCCTTTCCCTTCCTTTCCCTTCTTTCCCTCCCTTCCTTTTTCCTTTCCTTTCCTTTTTCCGTTCCTTTCCTTTTTCCTTTTTCCCTTTCCTTTGATTATTGTTTTGTTGCTCTTTCTTTCTTCAGATTATTGTTCTGTTGCCCAGGCTGGAGTTCAGTGGTGTGATCTCAGCTCACTGCAGTCTCCATCTCCCCGGTTCAAACCATTCTTGTGTTTCAGTCTCCAATGTACCTGGGATTACAGGCGTGTGCCACCACACCCAGCTAATTTTTGTAATTTTGGTAGAGATGGGGTTTCGCCTGTTGGCCAGGCTGGTTTTGAACTTCTGGCCTCCAGCAGTCTGCCTGCCTCAGCATCCCGAGCCACTGCACCTGGCCTCGGTTTCCAAAAGTAGTAATAGAGTAACATTGGAAAACCAAATATTAACAGTCATCTTAACTCTGCTGCCTTACACATTGACAGTCTGTTTATTGCACTCTGAGTCTTCAACCAGATTATTTCTCTTTGAGATTTTTATGGAAGCCTAGTCTTTCTTAATTAACTGTACATATGTTGAATGTTTCATCCATTCTACCTGTTCTTTTCCTCCCTTGTTAGCTGAGTAAGCTATCTGTATATAGACTCTGAGAAATGAACATGCAAAGTGACATACACTTTGAGGTCAGTTAGCTCAGTATGACATATTCACATTTTTTTACTTTCCTTTTTTCCCTTATTATTAAAGTAATATTAATGTGGAACACTTAGAAAATACCACAAAATATGAAAAAAATTGCTCGTGTTCTGCCAATTTTAGTATCACTGTAAGTATGGCGATATTTTCCTCCTGGTCTTTAATTTTTCTTTTTAAATCCTTTTTTACATTTAATTTTTCAGAAGTAATATGAACTTTTTTTTTTTTCATGTGTAGGAAGCTCTAGACATTCATGCAATTGATGGGACAACAGAAGAATCTTCTGGTCTTCAGGCATCAACCACAAATGACTCAGGTATTATAAAATAGTATAAAATGAGTTGTATTTGTGGTTTGGGCTCCAGTAATGAAATGTGCAACACTCATTTGTCTATAGTGTACGGTAGCTTATTTTATTACTGTTTGTTTTGGGAGTAGGTTGCAGAGCAAGAATTTCCCAGTTGGAAAAGGAGTTGATAGAAGATTTGAAGTCTTTGCGGCATAAGCAGGTGATACATCCTGGTCTTCAAGAAGGTAATAGACAAGTGACTTTTTTTTTTGGTTGTCTTTTTTCTCGCTTTCTTCCCTACTGTTTCTCCTCTTTTTCCTCTCTCCTTCACTTTTCTTTTTCTTTTCTGTTTTTTCTCCTTTCTTTCTAGCCTTGATTTCATTTCTTTCAGTGCCTTTCAGTTTGCATGTTTTTCTCTTCTCTGTTTCCATAATTCTTCCCTTTTGTTTAAAAACCATGTCTAGGTCTTCTTTATCCTAATATCTTCTGTAAGAAAAAAATGAATCATGGTAAGCAAGCAATATTTTCTTTGTTCATTCTTAAAATCTGGTGTTCTCCCCCACTCCTATTTCTCATCTTGGTTGCTTTTGTTTATGTGTTTGTTTTTATAATTTTGGAGGATCTTCCTTATCCTTTAATACTATGTTTAGGTGTGTAAATAGAAGAATACTTTTCTCTCTCATGTTTTGGCTGCAAACATCTATTTTACATATTTGATGTACCAGTGGGAAGTTAATTTAAAATTTTCATGATATTTTTAAAAAATTTTATTTTACTTTAAGTTCTGGAATACATGTGCAGAATTTGCAGGTTTATTGCATGTGTACACATGTGCCATGGTGGTTTGCTGCACCTGTCAACCCATTATCTAGGTTTTAAGCCCCATGTGCATTAGGTATTTATCTTAATGCTCTCCCTCCCCTTGCCTCCTACCCCCTGACAGGCCTTGGTGTGTGATGTTCCTCTATTTGTGTCGATGTGTTCTCATTGTTCAACTCCCACTGTGAGTGAGAACATGCGGTATTTGATTTTCTGTTCCTGTGTTAATTTGCTGAGAAGGATAAGTTCCAGCTTCATCCATGTCCCTGCAGAGGACATGAACACAGTCTTTTTTATGGCTGCAGTTTTAATTATTATCTTTATTTTATTGTAATGCATTATCTTGGCCTTGATGATGATGTTTAATCATTAAAAAAAAATCTACTGTGGTTATTAACATCATGATCACTACTGATTTTCCTGTTTTGCAATGTAATTTTAGGCTGTGGCCTAATTTTTAGTTTCTTATGAATATCTTTGATTTTAGATATGCATATTGGAGTAGTTTTTTGAGTTTTTGACACTAATTTTCAGAAGACTGTCTAGCTTGTTTACACTATATAGTAGTTCATTTACCTGAGAGTCTAAACATTACAAGCTATCAAAGAATGAGTATACACTAGTCATTCAGTTTCTAAATAAAATGGTAATACTTGGGAGTTTGTTTTGTTTTGTTTTTTATTTTTTTTGAGATGGAGTCTCACTTAGCTGCCCATACTGGAGTGCAATGGCGTGTTCTTGGCCCACTGCAACCTCTACCTCTCAGGTTTAAACAATTCTCCTGCTTCAGCCTCCCAAGTAGCTGGGATTACGGGCATGTACCACCATGTCTGGCTAATTTTTTTGTATTTTTACTCAGGACAGAGTTTCACGATGTTGGCCAGGCTGGTCTCAAACTCCTGACTTCAGGTGATCTGCCTGCCTCGGCTTCCCAAAGTGCTGGGATTACAGGCGTGAGCCACCGTGCCCAGCAATACTTGAAGGATTTTTGCTTTAATGGAACGCAGTTTGTGTGACAATGTGATCTTAAGGTGTGCAAATCCCAGTCTCAGTCAGTCAATGTGGACTGATTGCTGTGGATTGTAATAGACAGTCACATCATAGCGATCTTGCAGATAACATTTGCTGCTGTTTATTGTCAGCTTTAACTTCTATTTTATTTAAGTAACACACTCTTCTCCCTTTTTTCTCCTGTTTGCCTTTCTTCATTCCTCCCTATTTTTAACTTAACCTACCTGTTTTCTCCGTCTTCCACTTCCATTTTTTTTATTTACTTGATAATACAGAAATATTATGATATTTATATTGTGTTCTTTTAAACTTAATGCTACATTTAAAATACCTTAGTTCGGGAGTTAAATATATTCATTGTTTGCAGCTGGTCCTTTTGCTCTGGTTTATTTGCCTAGTATTTGCTGCTTGACTAAGCTTTGACTTTTTTTCCTTCTTTTATAGATACCTTAGTCAAATTTATAATCTTTTCCTTAATGGAATGGGGGTGTTCAAAAGCCAGTGTGTATGGAAACTAATTAGGTAACATAAATAGTGAAATTAGCCTGAATTTGGGGGATAGACTTGGACTCTGGTGGGGTAGAGTGCAGATACCTCTTCTAAAGGGACAGCTGCATCAGTGGATTTTTGTCATATGGAAAAATGGGCCCAAAATTCTCAGGTCTTCCCATAGTTCAGTAGAAGCTGGAGTGGCTGTGTGATGTCTCTGAAGTGGTGGGAGCTAATAGTTTTTTGGGCAACTAACTCAGAGCTTTAAAAACACAGCCAAACAAAACATCTCAGTAACTATTGCTTTTCACCTTCTTTACAGAGTCTGTATTTGTTGCAAGTTTATGTTTAATCCTCAGGTTGTTAAAATTTATTCAGCTACATGCTTACATAGTTTATTTTATTTATTTATTTATTTATTTATTTATTCATTTATTTTTGAGACGAGGTCTCACTCTGTCGCCCAGGCTGAAGTGCAGTGGCACAATCCTGGCTCACTGCAACCTCCACCTCCCAGGTACAGGCAGTTCTCCTGCCTCAGCCTCCTCAGTAGCTAGGATTACAGGCGTATGCCACCACGCCCAGGTAATATTTGTATTTTTAGTAGAGATGGGGTTTCACCATGTTGGTCAGGCTGGTCTCAAACTCCTGACCTCGTGATCCACCCGCCTTGGCCTCCCAGAGTCCTGGGATTACAGGCATGAGCCACTGCTCCCGGCCATAGTTTTATTTTTTAAAAACAAATCTGTAATCTGTGTGGTACTTCAATGTGTGAGGTAGAGTCCTGTTTTGGACTTTTTTTCCTCTATTTTATTTTGGCATATTTTTCTCCCCAATGTTTGTTTCCTTTGAAAAGCTATACTTGGGCTGGGCACCGTGGCTCATGCCTGCAATTCCAGCACTGGCACAGTGGCTCACGCCTGTAATCCCAGCGCTTTGGGAGGCTGAGGCAGGTGGATCGCTTGAGGCCAGGAGTTCGAGACCAGCCTGACCAACGTGGTGAAACCCCGTCTCTACTAAAAATACAAAAAATTAGCCAGGCATGGTGGTACGCCCCTGTAGTTGCAGCTACTTTGGAGGTTGAGGCAGTAGAATTGCTTGAACCCGGGAGGTAGAGGTTGCATTGAGCTGAGATCGCGCCACTGCACTCTAGCCTGGGTGACACAGCAAGACTTTGTCTCAAAAAAACAAACAAATGAAAACTACAACGACAAAAAAACTGGACTTAAACAGTTTCTAAAGAATAAAGTTAGTTTGGCAAAATATTTGTAGTAACTGGCTGATGCCAATCCCAGGTCTCTGAAGGTAATGAAAATATTCTAGGTTCATCTCTAAAATTTGATTCTTTTTTTTTTTTTGAAACGGAGTTTCGCTCTCGTTACCCAGGCTGGAGTGCAATGGCGCGATCTCGGCTCAC